TCCAAATGGACTGAATAACCCTCCCGGCCCCGCTAGGATTTGCGAACCGCCGTCGCAAGAGGTCACACGTTTGAAGCCAACGGACCATCGCCGACGATGATGCGTGGTCAGTGAATACTCTGCTGCCAAACCAGTCCACTGCTGGACGAGAGGGCCCAGTCGGCTCCCTGGTGTGGGATCGTGAAGGCGACAAGCGCAGCCGCGCGAGTGTAGAAACGGCGTAACGACGACGGGCCGGTGGTGGTAGTTTAGTCCACACTCAAACCCACTCAAACCCAACCCATTTCGCAAGCCTGCAGCTGAGCGAGACTCGGCACGTCCAGCCCACAGCCCTCACTCGCCCTCCCCCCCGCCGCTAGCGCGTCTTTGATCTCTGTGAATGGACTCATTTCATCAAACCCAGTTTTTCGCCTTTACTCTGCTGGACGAGTGTGGGGGGGGGGGGGGCTTTGCGCTGTTTACGCGTCTGTCTGTAATAAAATAATGATAGTGTGTGTGTGTAATACGGCAAAGACAATGGGGAGCGGTGGTGTAGCGGTTAGCGCGCTGCGCTCCGAACCCGGCGACCACAGTTCGATTCCCGCTCACGGCCAACACCGGTGACGATTATGTGAACCGGTCCTGGGCCTCCCCTAGGTCGACTCAGCCTCAAACGAATCCCTGGTGTCGAGTGTAAACATCGCCAGTCGGGAGACAAAGGCGGCCAACCTTAGTGCTGGTCACCCACCCCCTCGTGTGCCGTGACGGCCTTCATAGGTGCTCGCTAACAGCACTTGCCCCTACAGTCTGCTACAGGATATACGGGGGTGGGGTCTGTCTTATTGTGGAGTGTGCACTGCTCTTACAAACCCCCGATCTCCCCGAGTTTTATTCCCTACCACAGCTAAAAATCAATTGAACTACAATTACTTCTTCGTATAGTGTACAATGTATGTTACACACACCTAAGTACGTAATGTAGTATATATAATGTCCATTAAATGGGCCAGAAAACGTTTATCAATATTTATGGTTGTGGTGTTTATGCCAAATTTGTCAAAACCTTGAAACACACGACGAGTGTATCACGTTTTACAAACATAATATTTATACGCTCCAATAATGCATAGGTCAAACTCTGACCAATAATGCGTCTTCATAGCACGATGAAGGGCCATTGCACGAAACGTCGCCTATTACATATTTTTACATTTTAAGGCAGCTTTATTAACGAATGTGTCGAGTTATTTTGCCTACGTAAGCCGTGACCCCCCCCCCCGCCCGCCATAGGAATGTGGAATGTCCACTCCTGGCGCAGGGCTCTAAACGATAGCCGAGCAACGCCTGAACGCTCACTAGAGCTGGAAATCACACCGACTGTGACCAAAATGAAGCTCCTAACGTTGAGTCTTACAAAGCGACGGCATACGACGGCGTTTAGCTCAAATCGCTTTCAACTTTCTCGGCTTGCTCCACCTGGGAAATGGAGCGGGCGAGAATTTTTGCATTAAAAAAAAACTAACTTCGTTTGGGTCAAACCATAAAGGAATGCGACGTGGCCGGGTGGTGCTGCTGCTGCTGCTACTGCTGCTGCGTTGGACAGTGGTGCACAAGCACAGTCCAATAAAACAAACCCCCTCGCATTGTTTCGCGTGCGTGTTTGCGTTTAGTTTGTTGTCCTTCACCCACACCTCCGATTAGCACGGTTGACTACGTACGGCGCGAAAGAAGTTCAGCATACATACGTGAATAACAACTCCGTGGTCTTAAAAGGATAGCAACCCCGTAACATAATAGGCGACGTTTTGGGTAATGGACCTTTTTTCAAAGCACACAAATCATAAATATGGATCGTTGTATTGGCTACGAAAACGTTGAGTTAAGAAAACGCTACAGAGTATTATTAGATGTATATGCAACGCACTGAAATGTATTAAGTTGTATATTAATGTTTGCCCAATGTCCCATGAGAGGTTAGTTATGTTGGTTCGTATACAAAGGCTTCTTTTGTATGCGCTAGGCTAGAAACTCGTCTCGTAAGTTGACGGTTTTTGTGCAAACCACTTCAAAATACCGCCCAGAGCGGAACTATCCCTGCAGTGAATGCGGGGAGTGGCTCAGAGAAGACCCCGAAGCTCTCTGCCCTCCGCAGCCACCTCCCAGACGAACTAGAGCCATATACCACTGGCAAAGCAAAGTTAAGCCTGCAAAGATTCGTGCCGAAGCCAGAGTTAGAATCATTGCCCATATTAGAAATTCGCAAGGAAGTTGTACAAATCGATAATTATCCGAAACACACTTAAACCAACCTAGATGGTTGATTTAAGTGTGTTCCGTCTCTCGTTCTGACTTTGGTTGTGGTACCTATCCCCAAGATGTGAAGCACTCAACCATTCACATTACGCGTAAATAAATTGGATATCTCGCGCACGATTATATCATTGGAACGTGACCGTAATCTGCTTTAATTGTCAATAGATCAATCGTTAGGCCTAAAGCACTTAAGAGAAATGGGACTTAAGAGTGGACACATCGTGGCCCTAAGAATTTAGGATGGCGGATGGACGAGACCGGTAGTGGAATGACAACCAAAGGAGGGGATCGCAGCAGAACCGCGAGCATTGTGGGGGGGGGGGCTCCATCCAACAGCGGATAGACCACGGCTCACGAATAACGATGACAAGGCGATCGACAAGGGTTTGGGTAGCAGGGTGAAGAGACACCACGATGGGCCGCAGAGCGCCCGGCAGGTGAACGTCCCAACTACAAACTACAACTCTGCGATCAAACAGTGACGATGATGCTGCAGCAGCTGCTGCTGCTGCGTCGGCGGCAGCGGTGCACAAAGAACAGCAACATCCCTCGCATTTGTTAACAAGACTCGGGGCTCTTTAAAGGGAGAGGACCCCCCCCCCCCAATATATATACAGTATATAAAACAGCATATATAATAGACGACGTTTCGGGCAGTCCCCTTTTTACATCAGTGGTTAAGAACCCCCGAGTGATGACTGTGAAGATTATGTGTATTTTATATGTGTATGATGATGGTGATGTGTAGGTGATGGTGTGTAGGTGATGGTAAATGGTGGTGTGTAGGTGATGGTGTGTAGGTGATGGTAAATGGTGGTGTGTAGGTGATGGTGTGTCGATGGTAAATGGTGGTGTAGGTGATGGTGTGTCGGTGATGGAAAATGGTGGCCTGTAGGTGATGGTAAATGGTGGCGTGTAGGTGATGGTAAATGGTGGTGTGTAAATGATGGTAAATGGTGGTGTGTAGGGGATGGTAAATGGTGGTGTGTAGGTGATGGTAAATGGTGGCGAGTAGGTGATGGTGTGTAAGTGATGGTAAATGGTGGACTGTAGGTGATGGTAAATGGTGGTGTGTAGGTGATGGTAAATGGTGGACTGTAGGTGATGGTAAATGGTGGTGTGTAGGTGATGGTAAATGGTGGTGTGTAGGTGATGGTGTGTAGGTGATGGTAAATGGTGGTGTGTAGGTGATGGTAAATGGTGGCGAGTAGGTGATGGTGTGTAGGTGATGGTAAATGGTGGTGTGTAGGTGATGGTAAATGGTGGTGTGTAGGTGATGGTGTGTAGGTGATGGTAAATGGTGGTGTGTAGGTGATGGTAAATGGTGGTGTGTAGGTGATGGTGTGTAAGTGATGGTAAATGGTGGTGTGTAGGTGATGGTAAATGGTGGCGAGTAGGTGATGGTGTGTAGGTGATGGTAAATGGTGGTGTGTAGGTGATGGTAAATGGTGGTGTGTAGGTGATGGTGTGTAGGTGATGGTAAATGGTGGTGTGTAGGTGATGGTAAATGGTGGTGTGTAGGTGATGGTGTGTAAGTGATGGTAAATGGTGGTGTGTAGGTGATGGTAAATGGTGGTGTGTAGGTGATGGTGTGTAGGTGATGGCGTGTAGGTGATGGTAAATGGTGGCGTGTAGGTGATGGTAAATGGTGGCGTGTAGGTGATGGTGTGTAGGTGATAGTAAATGGTGTCGTGTAGGTGATGGTGTGTAGGTGATGGTGTGTAGGTGATGGTAAATGGTGGTGTGTAGGTGATGTAGGTGATGGTAAATGGTGGTGTGTAGGTGATGGTGTGTAGGTGATGGTGTGTAAGTGATGGTAAATGGTGGTGTGTAGGTGATGGTAAATGGTGGCGTGTAGGTGATGGTGTGTAGGTGATAGTAAATGGTGTCGTGTAGGTGATGGTGTGTAGGTGATGGCGTGTAGGTGATGGTAAATGGTGGCGTGTAGGTGATGGTAAATGGTGGCGTGTAGGTGATGGTGTGTAGGTGATAGTAAATGGTGTCGTGTAGGTGATGGTGTGTAGGTGATGGTGTGTAGGTGATGGTAAATGGTGGTGTGTAGGTGATGTAGGTGATGGTAAATGGTGGTGTGTAGGTGATGGTGTGTAGGTGATGGTGTGTAGGTGATGGTGTGTAGGTGATGGTAAATCGTGGCGTGTTCCGGTGTCGATGATGTGGGGGTTAGCGCGCCGCGCTACAAATCCGGCGACCCGAGTTCGATTCTCGCTCATGGCCAACACCGGTGACGAATATCTGAACTCGTCAAGGGCCTCCCCTCTAGGTCGACTCAGCCTCAAATGAGTACCTGGTACAGTGTAGTAAACATCGCCACTTGGGAGACAAAGGCGGCCGGGCGTGGTGCTGGCCACCCACCCCCTCGTGTGCCGTGTCGGCCTTCATAGGCGCTACTCGCTAACAGGATCTCTGATGGTGATGATAATGGTCATTAGCACAGTCGGCTACGTACGGGGCGAAACAAGTTCTCCAGACATACAGCTGTAGACGACGCTTATGGTGTTGGGTGTGACGATGCCGCAGGTGAGATGCTGATGGCGGTGTAGGTGTAGGCGACAATAATAGAGCAGACGTAGGTGCAGGCAAAGGGCTGACGGTGTAGCCGATGGTGATCGTGTCGAGGACGACGACGATGATGATGACGGTGGTGGTGTTCGTACGCAGGAGGTGTTACAGGTAAGCGACTCTCTCACCTGTACTACCGCACGGCAGCAGAAGATCGTCGCGAGCACAGCAAGCGCTGCGCGCTGTGCCGACATGGTCACCTCGTCGTCTTCCTCCTCTTCCTCCTCCTCCTTCTCCTCCTTCGCTTTGCCGCTTTGCTGGTCCGCCTGCGAGCGCGAGTTTCGCGAGCGAGTTTAGCGGCGCTCTGGGGCGAGTGGCGTGCGGAGCCGCGCGCTATGAGACAATAGGAAAACCCCGGGCGGCGAGGTGAGTCGACAATTGTACCTCCTTCACCACCCCCACACTCCCCTTACCACCCCTTACTACCACCACCGCCACTCGCGTCACCGCAGTAGAACAGGGCGCGCCGCTCTGTAGGTGTGGTCGCTGGGAATTTGAGCCGGGGCTGTATGCGCTCAACCGATTCTGCTCTGGGGGTACAGCTGCTGATGATGATGCTGCTGCTGATGATGATGCTGCTGCTGATGATGATGCTGCTGCTGATGATGATGATGCTGCTGATGATGCTGCTGCTGCTGATGATGCTGCTGCTGCTGCTGCTGATGATGCTGCTGCTGCTGCTGCTGATGATGCTGCTGCTGCTGATGATGCTGCTGCTGCTGATGATGCTGCTGCTGCTGATGATGCTGCTGCTGCTGTTGCTGATGATGCTGCTGCTGCTGTTGCTGATGATGCTGCTGCTGATAATGCTGATGATGATGCTGCTGCTATACTGCTGCTTGGCTATAGGTAGGCGTCACGGTGGCGAGATGTTAACTACCTCGCCTGATATCCAGGAAGTCGTGGTTTCTATCCCGATCCTGACGCCTGCTGTGTATTTGGATTAACCCGTAGGCTTTGGCGACCAATGTTGTCCACATTTGGAGTTTGCGCGTCTTTCTCTCCCTCCCCATGTTCGTACGAATTATTGTCCGCCCCCCCCCCTCCACAATTATAAACGTGCGTTTAGACTTTAGAGTAGTGTTTGGCTGCTATAAATATCCACATGCTATGCCGACACTTCGTTGAGCTATCATTTGTAGCCAGGTCGCTTCTGAAAAAAAAATCAACTCATCACAGTGGGCCTTACTCTTTGGCTCTTTCGGTAAAGTCACGTCGGTATAAAATATAATAAATTTAATCACAACGTTTCGATTGCAACACAAGCAATCATCATCATCAGGTGGGAAACCCACAGCGAGAAATGATTTTTGCTGAAGTGGTAAGAGGTTATGAACTTCAAATCAGTGGGCCTTACCTGATAAAATACAAACTTTTCAATTTTAATATTGGGTCGGGGAGCGGTGGCGCGGTGGTTGGTGCATGACGGACGCCACCATTCCTCTCTCGCGCCCAATGACAGTGGCGAATATTTGAAACGATCCTGGGTGGGGGGCTTCCCCTAGGTCGACTCAGCGCTTAAATTAGTACCTGCTGCTGTGTGTAAACATCGGCACTAGGGAGGCCTGCACCCACCACTCCTTCGTGTGCCGTTTGTCGGCCTTCATAGGTGCACGCGAACAACACTTTGCCCCAACAGCCCGTGGAGGTCGTGGTCTTCTTTGTGATGGTAATGTATCCCTCCCCCCCACGATAAAGTTCAGCGCTTTGAAAAGTACGGTACGAGGCGTGACAAATCTGCATATGAACCAAACGTCTGCGGTCATTTGTTTTCCAATCGAGTGATAACGAGGCTTTGAGAAGCCCAAAGTAAGTTTCCACCCTTCACCCCCCACGAAGACCCGATGATATTCATGAAGAATGAGTCACCGCATAAAGAATGCGTTCAAAGCGGGAGTTTAAACAAGGGACTCATCAACAAATGAAAGTACAGTAATGCGAATAAAAAATCAAACTGTGCGTCATTACGACTGGCCTCACCACGATTGTCATTCACTTAGCGAGACTCCAATTCGTATGACCTTCAACGAGTTTCAAGGGCCGTTTATCTGAATAAAAGGTTGTTTTGTTATGGGATCGCTACAAACATGTGCACGTTGTTCCAAAAGAGGCATCCTAAACTCGCGGCCACAACGACAGTGCTCGAGCCCTTGATGTCTTGTCGAAAACGTGTGTTTAAAACGAAACTTTATTTTATCTCTAGATTTTAAGCTTTCGTGACTGCAAGGATTCATACTCTTAGGGTTTTCGGTAAAGTCACGTAGGTAAATTTTAAAAAATAATAATAAAGTTATTTAATTGATTTATTTTTGTCGCCAGGTAAGGCCCACTGAGCCATGTAGCTCTTTTTCAGAAGCGACCTGGCCACAAATGATAGCTCAGTGCAGTGGCGTATCACGTGGAAAGGGGCCGTCCATAAATGACGTCACGCACCTAGGGGGGGGGGGTCAGACATTTGTGACGATGTGTGATGATGGGGGGGGGGGGGGGTGAGAAATATGACGTCACATCAAAATGGGCAACTATAAATAAATATAGACAACACGTTCTCCTTAATTAAATATACTTTTTAATAAATGTTTTCTCCTACAACATCAGAGTGCAGCGCCACATTAAGTACGCACTACAATGACAATAGTTTAAAGCGATTTGAAGCATGGTTTATTTTTTTTGGGGGGGCAGAGCTTCGTGACGTCATATTTGAGGGGGGGTCTGACTTTTTGTGACGCCGTGTGACGAAGGGGAGGGGAGGGTCAAAAATCGTCCAAAATCGCGTGACGTCATTAATGGACGGCCCCTTATCATGTGTAAATGTATAGCAGTAGCCGAATACTCTGAAGGTTCATGAGGTTCACGTGGAAATGGGTCACACGTTGTCAGGGATTCCATCCAATCCCAGTTATAATCATCGGCCCGAGTACGTATGTATGTACGTGTATGTAGGGAGCGGTGGTGTAGCGGTTAGCGCGTTTCACTACGAACCTGGCCACCCGGGTTCGATTCACGCTGATGGCCAACACCAGTGACGATCATGTGAACCGGTCCTGGACCTCCACTTGGTGCGATGTGTAAACATCGCTACAAGGGAGACAAAGGCGGCCGGGCGTGGTGTTAATCACCCACCCGCTTGCGTGCCGTGCCGGCCTTCATAGTTGCTGCTCGCCAACAGCACTTGCCCCAACAGTATGTTAAGGCTATACGGGTGATCTTTGTCTCTGTTTTGTATGTTTAACTTCTTTCACACCGTACCCAGCCAGCCGTGCTCATCGTAGGTGCTTAGAAACACAACGGAGTTAAACACACGCGCAACAAAAACATTCCAAAGAGATTAACATTCAAACATGCTAACAGCACTTGCCCCAACAGGCTTTTAAGGCTATACGGGGGATCTTTGTCAGTGTTTTGTATGTTGAACTTCTTTCGCACCGTACGTAGCTAACCGTGCTAATCGGAGGTGGGGGGGGGAACACAACGAAGTGCACACGCGCACACACAAAACCAACAGTCCCAAAGAGATTAACATTCGAACATTCTCATCAAGTCCGGCAGACAGCGATTGCTGCGCCATTAGAGAAGGGCTCTTGTTCAAAACGTCACCGATTCAATGTTTTCCTTTTTGCGGCCACAGTGCTACGGGCGAATGTGTTGGGATGCTGTTGCTTGTGCTACATGCACCAGTGCCAACGCAGCGGAGGCATCACCACGCCATTCGCATGCATGGGTGGAAAAAAAACGATTTTTCCAGCGGCAGGCATCGGGTTTCTTCTTTAATACAATTAAACCCGATTTAGGGGAATTAAAACCTGGTTTAATGAATACGAAACTCTGATAGGCTTAGGCTGCTTCCTCGTCGGTGCTGCTATCGTACTCGGGGGCCATCGGGCACGGGGTAGTCGTAGAATGCGGCGGGCAGGTTGGTCGTGATGAACACGAGCTTCTCCACAATCGTGGGCGCCAGTGAGTTCCTTAGCTTGGAATGGATGAAGCCCATTGTTGAGAAGTGCGGTTCTGAAATTAGAACCAATTAAACCGGATTTCTCCCAATCTCAGATAATCGGGTTTAATATAAAAATACAATTAAACCCGATTGTAAAAAAAAAACCGACTGTGCCACCCATGTTCGCATGCGATTGGTTACCCTGATCCCGGCCGTGTAGAAACTAACATGTGCCACCCACCATCTTTACACTCAAATAAATGACTGATTCGTGATATTCATCAGTAATTAGTCACAGGCCTCATCTTTACAGTGAGACGTCGGTTTGTCCGTTCGTAAGATAATGTTACTGACAACAACATTAACTGTGGGCTGTTGAGAACGGAAATTAATATTTAAATACACCTGGGTTTGTCTCTCCACACAAACGGGAATTCTGTTTTAGTCCGTTAGCCTCAGAGATCCTAGACGAATATGGAAAGTCAGTGGTTGTATTCACTATTTCAGGCCTTTGTCAGTCCACTTTTGGAAGAAGACCTCCCCATGCCTGTCCATACTTCACCATGCTGGTCAGTGCGAGTTAGTAAAGTATGGGGGTGGGAGGTCCTGAACCAGTTGCATTATTACTCTCGCTACTTGTGCGAACCACGGCTGAAAATTTAATAATTCACCAAAAATGTATCCTTCTTGTGTGTGCTTTTTTTGTTCAGTAACCGTCTTTAATGAAGAATGGGGGTTAACAAATTAAACTGATAGACATTGACTGCAATAATGGTTCACCAGGTGATATGTTACCGATTATGAATCGTCACTTCCTTATGGACCTTTGCCCTGACAGTGATCCATCTGCCGCGTATTATGGTACGCGTCATTGTTTGTGGGTGACGGCATCGGTTAATTATTGAACACCGCGGGCTTCTCACAACCGGCGTCTCTCGAATATGGAGTGTGCGTGGTTTAAATTTCCAAGTTAATGCTTTTGTTTGTTTGTTTAACCAGGTCAGAGACAACTCAAGAAGGCAGATAATTTCAGGTGACTCGTGTTCATCGCCCAGTAGAGCACGCGGCCCACGTGTGTGCACTGTTCACACCAAAAGTGACAGACAGCCATGTCCTCAAATCCGTTGGGGGGGGGGGTATTTTGGCCATACTTCGCCACACGAGTCAGTGGGGGTTTGTGATGGCAGGGATCATTGAGACGTGGAATCCAGGGATTCATTTCAGTCGGGTCTACACTGGTAGGCGATGCCAACATGTGTCAGCACCGGGCACACTTCATAACACCTTATACAGGCACAAGAATTACTACTATCGCCTCCTCCACGCCATGATGGTGTGGAAGAGGTGAACGAATCACCTGGTGAACGATGGCGGGGAGGATGCCGTGATACACTCACTCATCTTACACTGACTCACACATCATACACTGACTCACTCAGACATCAT